GGAAAGGATGGAGGGAGGGGGTAAAAGAGGTTTTGTGTGCAAGGGGCCTGGACATACAGCAGTCATGTGTGATTGTGTTAGATAGGGGTGAATGGAGATGGATGGTTTTTGGGACCTGATGAGCTGTTCGAGTGTGAGCAGGATAATATTTTTTTTAGGGATTCAAAGAAACTGGTTAGCTTGACTCAAGTATTGGAGGTGGGAAGTACAATGCCAGCACTTTAAATGAGGGGTTTGGGATATTGGCTGTTTGGGAACCTTTGCAAAGACAGTGATCATGTGTGAATGATGGTGAAAGTGTTGAATGATGGTGAAAGTGTTGAATGATGGTGAAAGTGTTTCTTTCTTTTTTGGGTCACCTGCCTCGGTGGGAGATGGCCAATACATTAAAAAAAAAATTGACCAAGTGATGGCAAACATGTTTCCTTCTTAGGGACACCCTGCTTTGCTAGGAGACTGGCAATTTAGTACACAAAAGAAGTTGTTTCCTTTTGTTACTCTGTTATCACACTAACTACCACAGTACAGTGGACCCCCGCATAACGATTACCTCCGAATGTGACCAATTATTTAAGTGTATTTATGTAAGTGCGTTTGCACGTGTATGTTTGGGGGTCTGAAATGGACTAATCTACTTCACAATATTCCTTATGGGAACAAATTCGGTCAGTACTGGCACCTGAACATACTTCTGGAGTGAAAAAATATCGTTAACCGGGGTCCACTGTACTAGTGTTTTTAGGCTTTAGAATGAAATGAGTTTTACTTTAATTAGATAACATGTCCTAAAAACTACACTTACTCTCCAAGATTAAAATTTATTTTTTATTATCACACCGGCCGATTCCCACCAAGGCAGGGTGGCCCGAAAAAGAAAAACTTTCACCATCATTCACTCCATCACTGTCTTGCCAGAAGGGTGCTTTACACTACAGTTTTTAAACTGCAACATTAACACCCCTCCTTCAGAGTGCAGGCACTGTACTTCCCATCTCCAGGACTCAAGTCCGGCCTGCCGGTTTCCCTGAATCCCTTCATAAATGTTACTTTGCTCACACTCCAACAGCACGTCAAGTATTAAAAACCATTTGTCTCCATTCACTCCTATCAAACACGCTCACGCATGCCTGCTGGAAGTCCAAGCCCCTTGCACACAAAACCTCCTTTACCCCCTCCCTCCAACCCTTCCTAGGCCGACCCCTACCCCGCCTTCCTTCCACTACAGACTGATACACTCTTGAAGTCATTCTGTTTCGCTCCATTCTCTCTACATGTCCGAACCACCTCAACAACCCTTCCTCAGCCCTCTGGACAACAGTTTTGGTAATCCCGCACCTCCTCCTAACTTCCAAACTACGAATTCTCTGCATTATATTCACACCACACATTGCCCTCAGACATGACATCTCCACTGCCTCCAGCCTTCTCCTCGCTGCAACATTCATCACCCACGCTTCACACCCATATAAGAGCGTTGGTAAAACTATACTCTATACATTCCCCTCTTGCCTCCAAGGACAAAGTTCTTTGTCTCCACAGACTCCTAAGTGCACCACTCACTCTTTTTCCCCATCAATTCTATGATTCACCTCATCTTTCATAGACCCATCCGCTGACACGTCCACTCCCAAATATCTGAATACGTTCACCTCCTCCATACTCTCTCCCTCCAATCTGATATTCAATCTTTCATCACCTAATCTTTTTGTTATCCTCATAACCTTACTCTTTCCTGTATTCACCTTTAATTTTCTTCTTTTGCACACCCTACCAAATTCATCCACCAATCTCTGCAACTTCTCTTCAGAATCTCCCAAGAGCACAGTGTCATCAGCAAAGAGCAGCTGTGACAACTCCCACTTTGTGTGTGATTCTTTATCTTTTAACTCCACGCCTCTTGCCAAGACCCTCGCATTTACTTCTCTTACAACCCCATCTATAAATATATTAAACAACCACGGTGACATCACACATCCTTGTCTAAGGCCTACTTTTACTGGGAAAAAATTTCCCTCTTTCCTACATACTCTAACTTGAGCCTCACTATCCTCGTAAAAACTCTTCACTGCTTTCAGTAACCTACCTCCTACACCATACACTTGCAACATCTGCCACATTGCCCCCCTATCCACCCTGTCATACGCCTTTTCCAAATCCATAAATGCCACAAAGACCTCTTTAGCCTTATCTAAATACTGTTCACTTATATGTTTCACTGAAAAACACCTGGTCCACACCCCCCCTACCTTTCCTAAAGCCTCCTTGTTCATCTGCTATCCTATTCTCCGTCTTACTCTTAATTCTTTCAATTATAACTCTACCATACACTTTACCAGGTACACTCAACAGACTTATCCCCCTATAATTTTTGCACTCTCTTTTATCCCCTTTGCCTTTATACAAAGGAACTATGCATGCTCTCTGCCAATCCCTAGGTACCTTACCCTCTTCCATACATTTATTAAATAATTGCACCAACCACTCCAAAACTATATCCCCACCTGCTTTTAACATTCTATCTTTATCCCATCAATCCCGGCTGCCTTACCCCTTTCATTTTACCTACTGCCTCACGAACTTCCCCCACACTCACAACTGGCTCTTCCTCACTCCTACAAGATGTTATTCCTCCTTGCCCTATACACGAAATCACAGCTTCCCCCATCTTCATCAACATTTAACAATTCCTCAAAAAATTCCTTCCATCTTCCCAATACCTCTAACTCTCCATTTAATAACTCTCCTCTCCTATTTTAACTGACAAATCCATTTGTTTTTCTAGGCTTTCTTAACTTGTTAATCTCACTCCAAAACTTTTTCTTATTTTCAACAAAATTTGTTGATAACATCTCACCCACTCTCTCTTTGCTCTCTTTTTACATTGCTTCACCACTCTCTTAACTTCTCTCTTTTCTCCATATACTCTTCCCTCCTTGCATCACTTCTACTTTGTAAAAACTTCTCATATGCTAACTTTTTCTCCCTTACTACTCTCTTTACATCATCATTCCACCAATCGCTCCTCTTCCCTCCTGCACCCACTTTCCTGTAACCACAAACTTCTGCTGAACACTCTAACACTACATTTTTAAACCTACCCCATACCTCTTCGACCCCATTGCCTATGCTCTCATTAGCCCATCTATCCTCCAATAGCTGTTTATATCTTACCCTAACTGCCTCCTCTTTAGTTTTTAAACCTTCACCTCTCTCTTCCCTGATCTTCTATTCTCCTTGTATCCCATCTACCTTTTACTCTCAGTGTAGCTACAACTAGAAAGTGATCTGATATATCTGTGGCCCCTCTATAAACATGTACATCCTGAAGTCTACTCAACAGTCTTTTATCTACAATACATAATCCAACAAACTACTGTCATTTCGCCCTACATCATATCGTGTATACTTATTTATCCTCTTTTTCTTAAAATATGTATTACCTATAACTAAACCCCTTTCTATACAAAGTTCAATCAAAGGGCTCCCATTATCATTTACACCTGGCACCCCAAACTTACCTACCACACCCTCTCTAAAAGTTTCTCCTACTTTAGCATTCAGGTCCCCTACCACAATTACTCTCTCACTTGGTTCAAAGGCTCCTATACATTCACTTAACATCTCCCAAAATCTCTCTCTCTCCTCTGCATTCCTCTCTTCTCCAGGTGCATACACGCTTATTATGACCCACTTCTCGCATCCAACCTTTACTTTAATCCACATAATTCTTGAATTTACACATTCATATTCTCTTTTCTCCTTCCATAACTGATCATTTAACATTACTGCTACCCCTTCCTTTGCTCTAACTCTCTCAGATACTCCAGATTTAATCCCATTTATTTCCCCCACTGAAACTCTCCTACCCCCTTCAGCTTTGTTTCGCTTAGGGCCAGGACATCCAACTTCTTTTCATTCATAACATCAGCAATCATCTGTTTCTTGTCATCCGCACTACATCCACGCACATTTAAGCAACCCAGTTTTATGAAGTTTTTCTTCTTCTCTTTTTTAGTAATTGTATACAGGAGAAGGGGTTACTAGCCCATTGCTCCCGGCATTTTAGTCGCCTCATACGACACGCATGGCTTACGGAGGAAAGATTCTTTTCCACTTCCCCATGGACAATAGAAGAAATAAAAAAGAACAAGAGCTATTTAGAAAAAGGAGAAAAACCTAGATGTATGTATATATATATATGCATGTGCGTGTCTGTGAAGTGTGACCAAAGTGTAAGTAGGAGTAGCAAGATATCCCTGTTATCTTACCGTGTTTATGAGACAGAAAAAGAAACCAGCAATCCTACCATCATGCAAAACAGTTACAGGTTTTTGTTTCACAGTCATCTGGCAGGACGGTAGTACTTCCCTGGGTGGTTGCTGTCTACCAACCTAGATGAATGTTTCAGAGAACCGACAAGTTGATAAATTAGACACATGTGCAACACTTGGGTATCTTTAATGAGGAAACGTTTCAAGGGTTAGGCAAGTGAAGAATTCCCTGTATTAAGATCCCATGATGTTGCTGTGTCATCTACAGGGAATTCTTCACTTGCCTAACCCTTGGGCATGACCTATTTCCACACTGGACAAATGAGATACCACCTATAACTGCTGCACCTCTCCTGCCTATGGTATATAATCTACTTCTCTGCACATATGCTGAATTCTTTTCAAGATTGATGGACTAACCACATCGACTCAAGGCTGAGGGACTGATTACCTCAAACTTCTCCTGTTCTTCACTATTCTCCTTTGTATGGACTGATGAAGTCACTGTGTGGCAAAATGTTTCCTCATTAAAGATACCCAAGTGTTGCATATGTGTCTAATTTATCAAGATTAAAAATGTTCACAATTAATATTCTAAACTAATATATAATTTGTTATTTTATCTACAAAATAATTACACATTTACAATTATCAGTTTTATTATTATTCGAAAAAACATAAAATTGACACTACTGCATAATAGTAAGTTAAAAGAACACAGCCACTAACCAGCCATAAGTTCAAGGATATGTGCAAGTGGAAGATATGCCAAGTAAACATCATCATCGGCAATGTCAAAACCCACAGCATAACTAATGACTGAGTTAACCACATTGTAATGCGACATGACAACTCCCTTAGGAGCACCAGTTGAACCAGAGGTGTACATGATGATGGCTGTCTCATCTGGCTTTGGGAACACATCTGAAAAAAAAATAAAAGTATTATTCCTTTAACCCTTTGACTGTTTTGGTCGTATATATACGTCTTATGAGGTACCGTGTTTGACGTATATATACTCATAAATTCTAGCGGCTTCAAATCAAGCAGGAGAAAGCTGGTAGGCCCACATGTGAGAGAATGGGTCTGTGTGGTCAGTGTGCACCATATAAAAAAAATCCTGCAGCACGCAGTGCATAATGAGAGAAAAAAAACTCCGACCGTTTTTTTAATTAAAATGCCAATTTTGTGGTCTATTTTCGTATAGTATTTATGGTTGTATTCTTGTTTTCTTGGTCTCATTTGATAGAATGGAAAACATATTATAAAAATAGAGGTGATTTTGATTGGTTTTACTATAAAAAGAACCTGGAAATGGAGCTCAAAAAAGGGGAAATGTTTGATTTTTGCCGATGTTCAAAAGTAAACAAATGTTGTCATTGTCCAATAAACGTCCAACTAGCCATTCTAATATGCAGTCATGAATGGGTTGACATTATTTGTACAATTATTACAATATTGCAGTAGTCTGTATAACAGTAAATTTTCTATTTTTTGTTTGAATAAAAATCAAAATAGAAAGCAAGACTAATATCAGAGGGGCTTGGAGATGTGACTGATGAACAAAGAAAATGTTATTTTAGAGTCAGGAATGTCTGCATTGTTCATTCTGGACCTTATTTTGAAATTGTCATATTTTTTTAATTTTTGTGAAATTGGCCAAATTGCAAATTTCTGACCACATTATTGGGTAGTTGAAATCGGTAAACAGGCAGTTTCTTGTACTCAATCGATAGAAAAAATGAAGTCCTAAAGAAATAGCTATGAGTTTGGTCGAGTGGAACAATGGAATTAGCCGAAAATAGGGCTCAAAGTGGGCGAAATCGCCGATTTGTAAATATTGCCTAGGTCGCTAACTTCATGAGAGCATAATTCCATCAGTTTTCCATCAAATTTCATTTTTTTGGTGTCATTACAATTGGGAAAAGATTCTCTATCATTTCATGAGAATTTTTTTTTTTTTTTAAATTTTGCGACACCAGGAGACACCTCAGGATTGGGGGTTGCGACAGTCAAGGGGTTAAGAGCCATGCATGCTGCAAGAGGCAACTAAAATTCTGTGAGCAAGGGGTCAGTAACCCCTTCTCTTGTATAAATTACTAAATGTATAAAAAAAACTGTGTTTCTTGTTTTTTGGATCTCCGGCCTTGGTGGGAGACAGTCAGTGTGTTGGGGGAAATGAAAGACAAAAAAAAAATTTTGTAAGACATTATACCATTTTATCAAGAGGTAATACATTGATTATTTTTCTTGGTTATCCTCATTTACAATTTTAGGATTAGTCAGTAGCTACCACAAGAATTAAAATTATTCAGTCACATCAGCACTGGATGGTATTAGTATAATGAACACTGATAAGTCTAACACAAAAATACAGTAGAACCCCCCATATCCAAGGATTCGGTTTCAGTTATCCATGGTTTACCATGACCTGAAAATAAGCCTTAATTTTGCTTAATAATGACACCAAAGCACAAAAGTGCTAATAACAGCAGTTCTTCAAAGTCTAAGAGAAACTGTGAAGTGATTCCTATCAGTGAAAAAGTGCATAATTTATCAATTAAACTTTATTAAAGGTATGTATGTAAACAAAAAATGACATATAAATAGGGTTTGCTACTATACACGGTTTTGGGTATTCACAGTAAGTCTTGGAACGTATCCCCCTCGGATATGGGAGAACTACTGGACACATGAATGATAAAAAGAAAGTGGGGTGAAATGTGAGGTGTATATTTCAATCTCCATGTGTTGAAGGCAACATGTATAAATCCACTTTCACCCAATGTTTCTTTCTGTCTCCCGTCAGGTTCTTGTGTTCCATCAAAATAGTCCTAGTATCATTCGTATATTGAACATAAGTAAATGCCATAATAACATAATTAACCTCCATTATCCATGAATTATTTTTCCAAAAGGAGATTTCAGAAATGTGATCTTAAGCACAGCTTGTTAAATGTGTAAATAATGAAGTCTTATGATTATTAACAATGACTACAACCACAGATGTGTAACTAACATAAGCTTATCATTATTAACAATGACTACAACCACAGATGTGTAACTAACATAACCTTATCATTATTAACAATGATTAAAAATCTTAAATGAACACCTTTTGATTGTTAAAGTTATCACATACCTGAGCATGTGCTTTCTTTTCCTTTCTTAACAATTTCTTCAAAGGAATGAAAGTGTATGTTATCTTTGTAGCCAGTGAGGACCGTGGGTTTGAGCTGATCGCAGAAATATGTTATGTGTGTCACTTTTGGACAATGAATGAGGAGAGTCTTAAACTTGGGCAGCAATTCATGAGAAGTAATGACATGAGTTACCTGCAAAAACAACAACAATTAATAAATTCATAACTTCTATGTTAGTTATCACGAATACATTTAAAACACTGCCTGCTGGTATTAAAACACTAGACTGTTTGAAAATCATAGTATTCTATTATCACTGTATTTGTTTAGGCAACACAAATGAGTACAATGTAATCCTGTACTAACAATGTATCACCCACACAGTGGGTTTTATCAAGTCACAAAGAGGTCTCAGATTTGTTAGTGACTAGACATAACCCACTGTGTAGGTAGATTATTATTATTATAATCAGGGGGGAACCGCTAAACCCGTAGGATTATACAGCGTCTGGGGGGGGGGGGATGTGGAAGGTATTCAGGCTTAATTCGGGGAACTGAAGCACAGATCCAATTTCCTAGATCAAGAGCCCCTCACTAGCATCAAGGAACCTTCCTTGAGGGATGTGTAGGTGGAAACATTCCCAATAAAGAACTGCATTATACTGCATTTCTCTCTTTTTGTGTATCTACTGCATTTCTCTTTTACTGTGTGTCTGTCTTTTACATCATTTCTTTCTATGACTACATATCTCATTACATGATAACCCCATACATCATGGCCATGGTAAAGAATGACAGGTACCTTAACAAATAAGCTAAAGGAATATCCAAAACCACTTTCAGTAGAATCTTATTTATATTATCATGGATAGTGCTAAACCTACAAGGGTCATACAGTGCCTGAGGGAATGTGAGGCAATTAAATTTCATCTGAGCAAAGGGAGAATAGCTCTAATTCCTTGGATGAAGAACCCTTCACCAACATTAAGGCAGTACAAGAATGGTATACAATACCAACAAGATGAAATTGAGACACATGTGCAATATCTGGGTATCTTTATTGTAGACGTTTCGCCATCCAGTGGCTTTATCAATACAAATTCCAGGACATAACTTGAAGACAAGAGAACTATGTACAGAAGATGAGGTAATCAGTCCCTCAACCTAGCAGTAGGTGCGAAGAGCACCGACTACGGTGCTCTTCGCACCTACTCCTAGGTTGAGGGACTGATTACCTCATCTTCTGTACATAGTTCTCTTGTCTTCAAGTTATGTCCTGGAATTTGTATTGATAAAGCCACTGGATGGCGAAACGTCTACAATAAAGATACCCAGATGTTGCACATGTGTCTCAATTTCATCAATATTAAGGCAACCCCTTTCATGTGAGAAAAGCTGATCAATGACACAGTGTGTATGGACCTTAATACCTGCATCATCACTTCACAGGATGGCAATATACTAAGATTATTTGTAGAATTTTATTATATTTAATATTTTTTATCATCAAATAATGCCCACATGGAGATAATAAAGTTACCTTTTAAAGCTTAATGACAAGAGAAAACATAGCCCCCAGGATTGCATAAACTTAGGCAAGTAATATATTTTTATGGCACTCATCAGAGATCAGTATTGAACATTTATAAACCTTACCTCAGTTTCGTTTATACCATGTATAACTGCGTCATCTCCAAGTGTAGCATACAGTGTACACACGGGAATGCATTGTTTAAAGCAGCCTATTGCAGATATTAGCCATTCTCTTCTTGTCTCTGAAAATATTACAATATTCTCCCTGGGTTGGTGTCCCACGGCACGTAAACCTTTGCCAAAATTTCGAGCCATCTCATCAACCTCAGAAAATGTGAGCCAAAAATAATCTCCAAGTTCATACTGTAAAAGAAGAGAAATTAACATACACTTTAAACAGAATTATTCATTAGTTTTCTACCAATTAAAAGTACCGATAAAATACAACCACAAATAATTTTCAAGAAGTGATTTAAAAAGAAAATTGTAAAAAATGAAAAAGAGCAGACTTTCTGCATTTACACAACACTTGAATATTTCTGGAAAATCTGGGATTTCTTATACAATTGCATTTTGCTCATGATATGACTCCAGCAGGCCTGGAGTTTCTTGCAAGTTTGCACTGCAACCTGCAAGTTGACTAATACCCAGAGTATCTATTTTTACTACAAGGCAAGGAGGATGTAAGCAACTTGGTCATACACCTAACATGGCCTGGGAATCACATCCAGGATCTTTTGTTTGCATACCAAAATATTCTCACCAGGGTGCTATAAGTCACTCTTCAACAGCATGAAGGAGAAGAGGGTATGTAGGTAAATGGTTAAGAGAACTGACAGGATGATGAATTAGACACCTGTGCAACACTTGGGTATCATTATTGTTGAAACATTTTGCCAACTAGTGATGATTTCTCTAGTCCAATATAGAGAAGAATGGAAGAAGGGATGGTCATTATGCTCCAGTGATCAGATATGATACATTAAACAAAATAAAACATCTTTAATTAAAGAAGTATTCAGACACAGTTAAAACATGATACATATACATGTAAAAGGGATTATTTCAAATGGCTTGTGTAGTATTTACTAAATGAGAAAAATTCAAAACGAGGTTACCCTACCAAGGATGGAAGTTTTCACAGGAAGAACAAGGCATCATAGATAAGGAAAAGGCAACTTTACTACTGTGCCTGCAAGCAAGATACATACTCATGTTATTTTACACTCTTAATACTTGAAAACCAAGTGTTACTGTCATGTGCATTAGGTAAGCTAAGAAACAAAGCAAAGCTGCTGTAACTCAATAAATTCATTAATAAAAAGTGCTAATTTTCTCCTTATAATAACTATCCACTCATTATTATTGCCATTTGTATGTCCCCTACCTACACTACGTACCTTCTTAAACACCCTTCCATTCTTTTGAACCTCTTCAAACTCTCGCAATATCTTCCGCGTTCCGAGTGCTTTTTTGCTACCATGTTTCTTGCAAGCATAGGAGAGGGCCTTCTCTAAAGTGTCAATTCCAGCCTTAGAAAGTTCCACTTGGAATGCATTAGGAGAATCACTATTATGATAGCACAGCCCTTCTGATACAGGAACTTGCACAGCCTAAAAACAAACATTAAATTATTATATGTATGTACCACATACTAAATATAAATACAGGGGGTACTACCCCCTTATATTACTGGGGATAACAAATAGAAACAAGAAATGGCATTTATTTCCCTGCAAATAAAATAGATTACAGCCTTGTAGATGGGAATAATAATGGCCCTATGTGATCTTCTGTATTCTTCTGGAGTGTTCATATGTATTTTCTTTTACTACCTAAACATAAAATTCTTTTATGTGCCTCATTATGTACAATGTTATTGCTTTGAAACAAAATATTATAAGCTCTGGACTACTCCAAGTTCCTTGTAGTACATCATATTAAGCACATCATCTTGAACTTTTACACTAAAAGCTGAGCTCAAAGTCCCTTTGGTACTCTTTCATAAACTGTTTTATTCATAGAGACTGAAATTTCAGTGTATATTACTTACTGATTACTACAACAGTAGTGTTAAATAATGTTCTGCACATTCTCATTTGGCAAAGAATGGCAGTCAAAAGCATGAAGCACCAATCTGGAGTTATAAATTTAAAATTTATTCTCAAGTCACCGATCAGCCAGACTGTGGTTTGAACGCTGGACTATATGCAACCAGTAGTAACAGCCTGGTTGATCAGGCCCTGATCCACTGGGAGGCCTGGTCATGGACTGGGTCGTGGGGACACTGACCCCTGGACACCCTCCAGGTAGACACACGTCACTATCATGGCATATCTGTCAGTCTCACCAGATTGTAAGTTGCAAATTTAACTACTGTATAACAAAATTATCTCTATAGCCCATCAGTTAAAGGGCAAATAACTATGAAGTAAAAATTATACTTTTTAATCTTTGACTCGCTAAAGAATCCACTGGCGAGAATCACAGAAGTAACCACAATATAGACGACACCTGCACTTACAACCTATTCAACCTAATTGGTTCCACAGAGGCTGTCATCAGTTAGAATGATCTAGGTCAAATTGGTATTTCTGGAGGGTGCAATATTATAAGGGAGGATTATGTTCCTGGGAACCAACTGCATACAGCAAAATTAAATAAATAAATAAATATATATATATATATCTTCTTCTTTCAACAAACCAGTCGTATCCCACCGAAGCAGGGTGGACCAAAAAGAAAAACAAAAATTTCTCTTTTCAACTTTAGTAATGTATACAGAAGGGGTTACTAGCTCCTTGCTCCTAGCATTTTAGTCACCTCTTACGACACGCATGGCTTATGGAGGAAGAATTCTGTTCCACTTTTCCATGGAGAAAATATAAATATATTTTATTTATATATACAGTGGTACCTCGAAATACAAACAGCTCAAAACTCGAACATTATGTAAGTGCATTTTTGGGGGTCTAAAATGGATTAGTCAAATTCACATTATTTCTTATGGGAACAAATTCGTTCGGTATTGGGACTTGAACAGCCTTCTGGAATGAATTAAGTTTGTAACCCGAGATACCACTGTATGTATGTATGTATGTATGTATGTATGTATGTATGTATGTATGTATGTATGTATGCATGCATGCATGCATGCATGTATGTATGTATGTATGTATGTATGTATGTATACCTTCTTTCTTTCAACAAACCGGCCGTATCCCACCGAGGCAGGGTGGCCCAAAAAGAAAAACAAAAGTTTCTCTTTCTAAATTTAGTAATTTATACAGGAGAAGGGGTTACTAGCCCCTTGCTCCCGGCATTTTAGTCGCCTCTTACAACACGCATGGCTTACAGAGGAAGAATTCTGTTCCACTTCCCCATGGAGATAAGAGGAAATAAACAAGAACAAGAACTAGAAAGAAAAAAGAAGAAAATCCAGAGGGGTGTGTATACAGTGGACCCCCGGTTAACGATATTTTTTCACTCCATAAGTATGTTCAGGTGCCAGTACTGACCGAATTTATTCCCATAAGGAATATTGTGAAGTAGATTAGTCCATTTCAGACCCCCAAACATACACGTACAAACGCACTTACATAAATACACTAACATAATTGGTCGCATTCGGAGGTAATGGTTATGCGGGGCTCCACTGTATATATGCTTGTACATGTATGTGTAGTGTGACCTAAGTGTAAGTAGAAGTAGCAAGACGTACCTGAAATCTTGCATGTTTATGAGACAGAAAAAAGACACCAGCAATCCTACCATCATGTAAAACAATTACAGGCTTCTGTTTTACACTCACTTGGCAGGACGGTAGTACCTCCCTGGGAGGTTGCTGTCTACCAACCTACTACTATATATATAATATATATATATATATATAATATATATATATATATATATATATATATATATTATATATATATATATATATATATATATATGTATATATATATATATATATATATATAATATATATATATATATATATATAAATATATATATATATTATATATATATATATATATATATATATATATATATATATATATATATATATATTTCAACAAACCAGCCGTATCCCACCAAGGCAGGGTGGCCCAAAAAGAAAAACAAATATATATATATATATATATTATATATTATATATACAGTATATATATATATATATAATATATATATATATATATATATATATATATATATATATTATATATATACATACGTATGTGTGTGTGTGTGTGTGTGTGTGTGTGTGTTGTGTGTGTGTGTGTGTGTGTGTGTGTGTGTAAGAGGTAGATGGGGCTAAAGGAAAAGTGGCAACAAGTAAGAGAGAGCTGAAAGTGTATACACAAAGGGAGGAGGAAGTTAGGGTGAGATGTTATTGGCCCTTTGCTCCCAGCATTTTAGTCGCCTCTTACGACGCGCATGGCTTACGGAGGAAGAATTCTGTTCCACTTCCCCATGGAGATAGGAGGAAGTAAAGAAGAACAAGAACTAGCAAGAAAATAGAAGAAATCCTGGAGGGTTGGGTCTACATATGCTTGTACATGCATGTGTAGTGTGGCCTAGGTGTAAGTAGAAGTATGCAATGGTAGAAGGTTGGTAGACAGCAACCGCCCAGGGAGGTACTACCATCCAACCAAGTGAGTGTAAAACGAAAGCCTGTAATTGTTTTACATGATGGTAGGATTGCTGGTGTCTTTTTTCTGTCTCATAAACATGCAAGATTTCAGGTATGTCTTGCTACTTTTACTTACACTTAGGTCACACAACACATACATGTACAAGCATATATATACAAACCCCTCTGGGTTTTCTTCTATTTTATTACTAGTTCTTGTTCTTTTTTATTTCCCCTTATCTCCAAGGGAAAATGGAACAGAATTCTTCCTCCATAAGCCATGTGTGTCATAAGAGGCGACTAAAATGTTGGGAGCAAGGGGCTAGTAACCCCTTCTCCTGTGTATATACTAAATGTAAAAGGAGAAACTTTCGTTTTTCCTTTTGGGACACCCTGCCTCGGTGGGATACGACCGGTGTGTTGAAAGAAAGATGTAATGCAATGGAGCATATAAGTTAGGAATCCACAAGTTGGGGTTTCTTGTAAGTAAGATATAAATTGTGAGAAACAATGAAGGACTGGAGATGAAGAACTTCAAACTCACCCTTTCACGATTTATCAACTTCCTGCCTTTCCATGGTTGCTGAATAACAGCATAGATTGGGTAGGTGACAAAATCATACAAGCAGACCCCAACTCTGATGAGACTCACACCGAGGGTAGCAGCCAAGTCACCCATTGTGTGACTGTAAACAACAAAAGGTATATTATTTTGAGCTGAAAATAGTAAAAATAAAGCAAGAGAACAGCGATCCCTCTAATGTAAATTACTTAACATTTTTACTGATAGTCAATGGGTGAAAAGACTCAATTATCAAACTTTTTTCAGTTGAAGAGCTTTCCAAAGCCAAAATCTCTCTCTTTTTTTTTTTTTTTTTTTTTTTTTTTTGCTATTATTGCTTATTATATAATAATATCCAGATAAGACTGATATACTTGAAAGCTAATAATTATCTGCAAATATGAGTAACAGCACTAATACATATATACATACATATATATATATACACCTACCATCCAACTTACGACCAAGTTCGGTTCCGAGAAACCGGTCGTAAGTCGAAATGGTCGTAAGTCGAACTTTACTACTGAATATCAACAAAACATTTTTGTAATGACTTTATTTTATTGTTTTATTTTGGTATTTCATGTTTTACTTTACTTTTTATGTTGTTAGTACAGTGGACCCCCGGTTAACGATATTTTATCATTCCAGAAGTATGTTCAGGTGCCAGTACTGACCGAATTTGTTCCCATGAGGAATATTGTGAAGTAGATTAGTCCATTTCAGACCCCCAAACATACACGTACAAACGCACTTACATAAATACACTTACATAATTGGTCGCATTGGGAGGTGATCGTTAAGTGGGGGTCCACTGTACTGTATTTTATACTGTAAGGTTTAGGATAAACACTGTGTACAAAACAAATAGTTGTTTATTTCCCAGAAATTTGGCATAAAAAACACGGTCGTAAGTGGAGTGGTAGTAAGTCGAGCAGGTCGTAAGTTGGATGGTAGGTGTACAGTGGACCCCCGCATAGCGAACTTAATCCGTGCAAGAGGGCTGGTCGTTATGCGAAATGTTCGCTATGCGAATTAATTTTCCCCATAAGAAATAATGGAAATAAAATTAATCCGTGCAAGACACCCAAAAGTATGAAAAAAATTTTTTTTTACCACAAAAAAATGTTAATTTTAGTACACACAAACTGAAAAAGGCATGCACAATTACATGACACTTACTTTTATTGAAGATCTGGTGATGATTGATGGGATGGGAGGAGGGGAGAGAGAGTGTTAGTGTATAGAAGGGGAATCCCTTCCATTAGGACTTGAGAGTAGCAAGTCTTTTCTGGGGTTACTTCCCTTCTTCTTTTATATGCCACTAGGACAGCTTCATCACTGGCTTCTTTCGCACAACATATCTGTCCATAGTGGGCCTGTAGCCCTCGTTCCTTTATGATTTGTCCTAAAGTGGTTCACAACCATGTCCATTGTAACAGTCACCACAGCACGGCTTGCCATAGCTGTGTGAGGGTGATTTTTCCATCAAAAAAAAAAAAGGTTGCACCTTCAGCCATTTTGCACACATTGTCCTTAATTCTTTTGAAGTAGCATCCTTCAATTTCTCTCTCGTCCACCCCTCCTTTGAACCAGTTTCCTCCCCAGGTCTGGCCTCTTGCTCTTGAAGTTGATCTATTATCAGCTCATCAGTGGTTAGTTCTTCATTGTCCTCCTCCACCAACCTCCACACCTCCCACTAACCTCCAACCCCAAGACTTCCTCCCCAATTCCACAATTGATTTCCTCAACTGGTATACTACTCCTCTCAGGGTTAGCCACAAACCCTTCAAAATCCTGTTTGTCTACACATTCTGGCCACAGTTTCTTCCAAGCAGATTCAAGGTTTTCTTAGTCACTCCCTCCCAAAGCCTTACCTAAAGGATTACACAATTTAGGATATTAAGTGATCCGTCCAAACACTTTTAGAGTCATCGATGTCGTGGTCACTTCAAAAAGCACTTTTGAGAACAGAGCTTTTGTGTACAGTTTCTTGAAGTTTGGAGATGACCTGCTGGTGCCATGGCTGGCAGGAGAGTAGTGGTATTAGGAGGCAAAAACTTCACCTTAATGATGCACATGTCCCCAATAAAGACGCTCTGCCACTCTGTAGGAATGACCAGGGGCATTGTCTAACACCAGATGCACTTAAGGTCTATTTCTTTTCAGTTAGGGTAAATCTTTCACATTGTGGGCCAATGCATGGTGTAACCCAGTTATAGAAAAATTCCCTAGTGAACCCATGCCTTACTGTTTGCCCTCCACAGCACACACAAATTTCCTTGTAGGACATTCTTTTGCCTGAAACTCTGGGATTACCGAGTGATACACTAATAAAGGCTAAACTTTGCATCACACCCCTACATTGGCACACATCAACAAAGTAAGCCTTTCTTTCATAGGCTTATGTCCTGAGGTGCCTTTCCTCCTGAGTAATGTAGGTCCTGCTTGGCATTTTCTTCAGAACAGGCCTGTTTGCACATCACAATTAAACACTGTTCAGGTTCCAGTCCTTCAGTTTCTATTACTTTCCTTTGAATTCATTCCAATAATTATCATTTCAGGCCGCTTTGTGGTCCGAACTGGCAGCCTCACAGCCGTATCACACTATGGAATCCACCTAGTACGCTTCTAATCTCTCAAACCAACCTTTGCTGGCCTTAAAATTCACTCACATCATCACTAGTTGCAGGCATTTTTTTAAATTAAAATCGTCATGCAACTTCCCTAGGCCTTTTCACATATGATCGCTTGAGAGACGCTATCTCCTGCTAGCTGTTTTTCATTTATCCACACCAATAAAGTCTCTCAACATCTTCCATCACTTTGCGATCTTTGTTCGAAAACACAGGTTAAACCTTTGGCAACAACAGCTTTCTTGATTGCCGTTTTCCATTGCCCACAATAGAAGAGATTGGTTGATTTTGGTTTCTTGTACAAACCTGACCAGGTCGTGATACGTACTCCACTATTCATACTTATCAATGATCTCTTTCTTCATTTCAATGGGTAAGTTCCATTAACCCTTTGAGGTGTAGGGTTGGCACTAGAAGCTTTCTTTTGGGGCCCATGGTCACTTATTTTCCACAAACAGCACCGAAAACACTGTAATAATAACGAAATATTCCGGTGTATGCTTGAATGTTACCGCCGGAGGCTGGCTGGTAAACAATGGGACGGGGCTCACATGTGAGGCTGGCTGAGGCGCACATTGGACGCGTCTCGGACGAAGCCGCTAGCTGTTTTTGTCCCACTATGCCGGGCAAAATTTTAGCGAACAAAGCGTCCGCTAATGCGGATGTTCGTCTATGCAAGGCGTTCGTCTATGTACGGGGGGTCCACTGTATATATATATATATATATATATACAGTGGACCCCCGCTTAACGATCACATCCCAATGCGACCAATTATGTAAGTGTATTTATGTAAGAGCGTTTGTTACATGGTATGTTTGGGTGGTCTGAATGGACTAATCTACTTCACAATATCTCCTTATGGGAACAAATTCGGTCAGTACTGGCACCTGAACATACTTATGGAATGAAAAAATATCGTTAACCGGGGTCCACTGTATATATAATATATATATATATATATATATATATATATATATATATATATATATATATATTATATATATATATATATATATATATATATATAAATATATATATATATATATATACACACACACAACACAGTGTGGACCCCGACATTCGATAATCCCGACATTCCGATGCAATTTAACGGCAAAAATTTCGCCTCGAGACATTCGATCGAAAACCCGCCTATTCCGATATGATTCGTACGAGACGTGTCCACGGTGGCCTGAACTTCCCCGTGTTTGCCACGTTAACAAAGCCAGCCCGTGTGCGCGCATCTAAGGATTACCATTAGGTACATTCCAATATTATCCATATTATCACTGTTTTTTGTGCTTGTTTTCTGCAAAACAAGTCACCATGGGCCCCAAGAAAGCTTCTAGTGCCAACCCCCTGTGGTAAAAAGGGTGAAATTAGTATGAAATTAAGAAAGATTTTGAAGGGTTTGGGGCTAAGAGCCTCTGTACAAGCCTTATGCCAGTTCTAGAATCCATTGTGCCTACCTTCAAAGATTAAGGAAAATTGTGCAAAGTGGGTTGAACTGCAAACCTTTATTGGATGAAAAACACCCAACACAGCTATTGCAAGCCGTGCTGGTGACTATTACAATGACAATGTTTGTGGCCCAATTTTAGACAAATCTTAAAGGAATGGGGAGGTACAAGCTCTATTGACAGATATTTTGGTGCGACAGAAGTCCAGTGACTCTCAAGTTTGGTCCTAGTGGCATTTAAAAGAAGAAGGGAAGTAACCCCAGAAAAAGACTTGATACCTCAAGTCCTAATGGAAGGGGATTCCCCCTCTAAACACTAACACCATACACACTCTCCCCTCCTCCCATCCCATCATCACCAGATCGTCATTAAAGGTAATTGTCAATTATTCTATTGTTATTAATCTATTGTTATTGTTGTTATTGTAATTATTCTATTGCATTAAACTTAATATTTCATGTGATAATTTTTTTTTTCATACTTTTGGGTGTCTTGCACGGATTAATTTGATTTCCATTATTTCTTATGGGTAAAATTAATTCGACTTTCAATATTTTCGACATTCGATGAGCTCTTAGGAATGGATTAATATCAAATGTCGGGGGTCCAATGTGTGTATATATATATATATATATATAATATATATATATATATATATATATATATATTATATATATATATATATATAATATATATATATATATATATATATTTTTATTATAATTTTATTATCACACTGGCCGATTCCCACCAAGGCAGGGTGGCCCGAAAAAAAAACTTTCACCACCATTCACTCCATCACTGTCTTGCTAGAAGGGTGCTTTACACTACAGTTTTTAAACTGCAACATTAACACCCCTCCTTCAGAGTGCAGGCACTGTACTTCCCATCTCCAGGACTCAAGTCCGGCCTGCCGGTTTTCCCTGAACCTCTTCATAAATGTTACTTTGCTCACACTCCAAACAGCACGTCAAGTATTAAAAACCATTTGTCTCCATTCACTCCTATCAAACACGCTCACAG